CCCATTAATATTGGTGAAATGAGAAAGGATTTCGCTGTGCCGATTCTTGAATTCTGCTTTCTTTGCGAGAAGGGAGCTCCATGGATTGGACATATTCATGTACAGGTATGATTTTTATTATGTGTTTCTCTGGCTGGGTAATTATTGTTCTTGGTTCATTTTTGTCGACTGTTCATGGTTGATGACTTATGTGAGTCATGTTTTATTCTACAGTACCCACGATTGTTTAATAGTTGCTTTTTTCTCTTGTTTGTTAAGTTGAAGAGTGGATGATTGTAGGGTTTATAAAAGTTTTCTCTGCAGTTACTATACCTTATTAATTATCTGCCAGTTCGTGATTGGAAAGAGTTGGATTATTGCTGTTGATTTGATGATTGGTTTTATTCAAGTTTTGGTGAATATACCAACGGCTGAATTAATTGTTAAGGTTCTTCGATTGTTGCTTCTTTCAATTAAATCATGAGTACTCGATCTGGATCACTATATATATAATTTGTATTCATAACTGTTAGATGAAAACTTGAAAAAGGTCAAAACATTAATGGACTGCAGTTCCGAAGATGGTGGGTATGGTGCCCTTAGAACTCTTGGATCATTGATTATATGCCTTTGTTCTTTGGGCTTTGGATGATTAATAATATACATCTGTTATTGGAATTTTAGACAGCTTTTGGATTTTTAAGTGTATGAGCGGCTACGGTTTTGTCGGATAATCGTGGAGGGACAGAGGCGGTTATGGTTTAGAAACTCGTATTAAATCTTTACCCATGTGAAATCTTTACTGTTGAATATTATCTTTTACAACTCCAATCTATTGCTTTGAAGAAGTAATAGTACCCTCAATAAAGTTAAAAAAAAAAAAAATTAAGCAAGAATCTCAAATACATGCATAAATATACATGTTTGTATGTATCTAGACTTCAACGCCTGTTCTTTCTTTCCATCTTTTTAATTTTGATAGTTATGAGCACATCTGTCTATCTCAAAAAAAAAAGATCATGGGCACATCTGGGATCTAATGTTGTGTTTATATTTATATAAAACTTATAAGTTACAATTATATGACGTCTAGCCTCTTTTTAATTAAAAAAATATGAAGAAGTGTTTTATTTTGTCAATAGTCGATCTAAGGATTTGAACATGGAACATCCTAAGGTTTTTCCTGGAAATATAATGATAAACCTTTAGGTATTATTCGAGTCATTCTAGCTTTTAAATACTGTGGACTGCGGAGTGGTGTAAATATTTGTTACTTCTTTAGATGAAATGAGGTATTTCTGCAGTTCAGTGCATTCAGTTGCGTTTCTGATCAAAAGTATGGGTTCGAAAATGTCTGGTGGTTATTCTTGCACTAATCTAACATGGTAAAGCTTGTAAAGACATGAAGTTACTTCTGCTGGTGGCATAAAAAAAAACCTGTTATTAGCAGCAATAGTGAAATATTCTCAAAATGTTGAAACAATAGATTTTCTTCCGTTTTTTTTTAGCCAGTGAACATGTGCCAGAATAAACAGAGGCACATCTAGGGATAAAAAAAAAACAATGGATTTCTGTACTTAAAATTGGTTGGTCGTTATGATTCTCTATTAATATCTTGGAACATATGCACACAATGACAGAAGAAATCTTAAAATATATTAGTGCCATCCTGTTCTTTGCTTGTACAGTTTCTATTAAGGGAATAATCTGCCGCTTGGTTTTTAATCAATTGCTATGCCGTGAATGTCAATACATCCTTACATCTATTAAAAGAAAATTTGTTTCCTTTAGCTTGTCATATACCTCCATTTTTATTGAACAGATAAACAGCTTTCCTTCCTAAACACTTCGAAGTTATATCCCAGATTAGATTCAATGGTTTCCAATCCACTCAACTTAATATAGATTGTATAATAATTTTATAACCACATTAATCATCACCTGCTTGTTTGTTGGTGAACAAATCCAGCTAATGATTTAGCCATCATGTGCATGCTCTGCTTGCTAAGTCAAATTTGTAGCTTGCAAAACCAGTAATTTTATTATCCTTTATTTTAGTCATATTACGAGTGGCAAAGTTATCTGTTGAATTTTAATTTCTTCCGAAGTACTCTGCAACCATCTTTAAGATCTTTTCTTCTTTAAAATGCACTCCAGTCGTACAGAAGTCTAATTTGATTTTTGAAAGTTGGTGGACGTCACGAAAAATCTTATTCAGCTTGTGTGTTTTGAAAATTTTTGTTTTTTTTCCTTGGCACTTGTTCTGATTCTTTGTGATTTTGGGGTGATCGATAATTCTTGTTTGCTTCACTGTATGGTTCTTCTCTCTTGGAGATATTTAATTAGGATATTTTTGGCTTTAGAGGCTGGAGATTTTCTTGAGAAGACTTTTGTAGCTTTTGATTTTAAACCACGTGCAGAATTTCACCAACATCATTGGTCCTGCTTTGTACCTTTTTGCAGAGGAGAAAAAGCATTTTGCAGTACAGATTGTCGTGACAAACATATTAGAAGCGATGATCACAATGAAAAATGCGGATCTGAAGCTAGGAAACCTTTTGACTACTCCGAGTCCCCATGCTCCGGGCCGCTGATGTTTTTTGCTGGGGTTGCTGCAGCCTGAAACTTATAATATCAGTGTAAGTAAATAAAAGAGAGGGTAAAGAGAAGGCGAACAGGGTATCTAAATAAACACACCCATATATTGGCGGCTTAATGAAGGCACTAATACATTATAAATATATATATATATATTAATATGTAGGTTTGAGATCTCATGTTGGTCTCTTTGATCTCAGATTCTTTAAAATATTTATGTGAGATAAAAAAGGATTTTCTTCTCTCCTGCGATGTGATTTGAACCATAGAGGATCTTGTCAATAACTTCGACCTTATATTACTCAGGAGAATGTTACAGGAGATTCGTGCTCGCAACATTAATTATAAGTAGTGGAATTTTAACCGTTAGATATTCAATATCTGCAATTAAAATATTTAGTATTTACAATTAATTTTATAAGGCTAGAGTTTAAAACATTGCTGATCTAACGATCAAATATAAAGTTCAGTGGAGACCATTTGCTAGAGTTTTGTTCAGCTACCCTTTAGAATGTGCTTGCAGGTTAAGAGTAAAATGTCTACGGCAGCAGAAAGATGAGATTTTAGAATTCTCTTATATCTTTGTTTTTAAAGTAAATGTATACATATGTATTCATTTGAAGTTTTATTAGATGATACCCACGAATTACATCTGACAGAAATAGAATTTAATGGACTTGAAACTATAAATTACAAGCATAGGAATTTTAAAAGTACTCGTTATAAATTAGTGTGTAACAAATATATAAAATTGTAAAGTCTATATAATAAAGAAAAAACATATTTTTTTTAATACTAATTTTCCTTATTTAAAAAAAATTAATTATTAATTAATCAAATAGTGGACCGTACAA